AGATAAAGCAGGACCTTTCAGAACCTGTTACAGAATTCTCTACTGCTGTTTTTGATGTTGCTGCTTCTGTTGTTCTAATTGGTGTTTACCTGCTCTCCCTTTACTACCTATCTCCCATTCATCTTGTAGCTCTTACTTTCTCAGAGAAACATTCCTTGGGCCCCTAGATTCATGGTGGTTATTGATGTTTGTGCTTATTTGCAGAGCAATAAAAAATAATGAAAAGGGACTAGGGTAAAGATTCTTAAAAATTTGTGTTGATTGGCATATGGATGGGATATGTAGAGTAAGAGAGAATGAGAGCATAGTACCAAACTGTTAGAAGGTAAGTCTCCTGAAGAGCAGCTAAGAAGGAATAGGAAGAAGTAACAAAGAATACATGGTCCCCAAATCAAAAGAAAGCTTTGAAAAGAATGTGTTCAACTATGTTGATTAAAATGAAGTATAGAAAAATGTACACTGAATGACCAACATGAGTAATTACACCAATGAAAATTAGCAAATGCTACAAGTGTGAGCTTACTTTGTTGTTTTGTGTTTTTTTTGCAGTATGGTTAAAAACATGATAGAGAAAATGCTGAGGATTAACCCTAAAGTATGTTAAAATCTACAGCCATTTCATAATGAAAAGCAAAAAAGACTGAGCACATATTTTTCCAGTATGTGAAAGCTATCATCCTATTCAGCAAAGTTGCTCATTATTGATTCTCAAATGAATTTAGACATACATATTTATATTCATTTCATTTTTTTCTTTCAACAACAAATGAAAAATATCAACTGGCATTCACATGGAAATTGCATTCATTCATCAGTTGCAACCATCAATTAGTAATGGATACAAGAATGTCAAAGATCAATGAAATCAATGACTGTGAGAATTGATTGGCTATAGGGATTTTACAATAAAGAGCACTAAATATTTCATTATTTATAAATTATGTTCCCCATGTCCATTTTATTAATAATATTTATAAGAAATATTTAGAAATATTATGGATGCACGCAGCAATGGAAAACAAATATTGATAGTATAAGATTGAAAGAAGTTTACCACACCTGCATTTTACATTAATATTCAATGTTTTCAGCCCTTGGGCAATATTAGGGGTTTAGAAAATTTGAATATTCATTAAAACCTAAGAACTCATAAACTCATTGGATACAGACTTTGCGGTCACTGAGCAAAGCAAAATTTCACTTAAAGTTTCATCAATAACCACAAATGTCAACACACATATATAATGATTGGATGACTTGAATTAATAACTTTAAATGTGTAAAGAACAAACTAAATATATTTTGTTTGTTCATTTAGTTTTTTTGTTTTTTTTTTTGAGACAGAGTCTTGCTATGTAGTTCAGGCTGGTCCTGAACTCACTATGTAGCCCAGCCTGGCCTCGAACTTGTGGTGATCCTCTTGGCTCAGCCTCTCAAGTGCTGGGACTATAGGAATGTGCCACCACACTTGGGTTGTTCATTTACTTTTTATCTTGAAACAATCTCAACCTTCCAGAAAAGCCACAAATGCAATGCTAAGAACCTTTTCACAAAATCATTAGAGTAAGCTGGCCCATTGTACATAAGTGAGTATTCCCTAAAAAGGGGCACATTTTCTTATACAATCAATATAACCATCAAAATCAGATAGCAGTCAAGTTTTGTCAATTGTTCCAATGATATTCTTTATTATAAAAGGGCCCACTTCTAGTCTGGAACATTTATTGAGATTTTATTTGCCTTTTATAATCCTAGCACATTTAAAGAATACCAAGGTTGTTATTTTCTAGAATCTCTTTCAGGTTAGAATGGTTGGATATTTTCTCTTGATTGGATTCAGGACAGGCATCTTTAACAGGAATATCTCAGAAGTGATGCTATGTTCACTACATCCTAAGAAATTCAATTCATTTTGTCTCATTTCAGGTAAGTTAACTTTTATTGCTCAATTAAGTTGATGTTTCCATACACTTTCCATACAGTCAGTCTTTCACTGTAATATATATCTATTTTGTAACAACAAAGTATCAACTCTTCTGGGCATTCATTAGGATGTTTATATTCATAAGGATGAATTTCTTTATGTTCCAAGGTAGGTAATCTATCACTAACCTAAGCAGGTTTCTATGGTCATTCAACAAGTCTCCAGCATTCTTTGAGCATTTCCATCTTTCTGACCCAGTAAGATCAGTTACATCATCTGTTTTTCTGTCCCATCCATGTAATCAACCCATTTTTCCAAAAACTCCGGCTCCTTTTGGTGGAGAACTTTATTTGGAAACTAAAATCAGAGAATTAAAGATACTTTTTGGTGATGTCAGTCTCTGAGAGAGAAAACCATACACAGGAATATGTACAGGCACACAGGCCATATTTACTCATATATTCTTATGTGTTCTTATGTGTTCACATCTATTGAAAATCATAATTCATATCACATCTTCAATTTTAATTCAACACTACAGCTTCCTCCACTTCCCTATTTCTCACTTCCAGAAATTTCTTTGTCCTCACATAGTGACTTCTTTTCATCAGCACCTAATCCAGCTGTCCCCACAGAGGCCCTGGCTGGGCTGCTGACCCCAATCCAGCCCCACAGTGCTTGCTGAGTCCTAACACCCCGTGCACCCATCCTCCTTGGGGACACTGCCACATTACTCAGGCTCCAATCCCAGCCCCTTTCCCCGCCTCAGGCCCCCAGCTTCCTTAGCCACCCTAATGAAGAGGAGGAAGACAGGAGAAGGAAAGGGGTGGGGAGGAAAAACAGCCCCTGCTTATTTGAAAGGCAAAAGCAATGGATAGCAAGTCCCTCACACTATTGAGATACTCTAATTTACAAACCTTGAAATTGAGATTTGCTTTAAAAATTGATATTATGACTATCTTCAAAGCTGGCCAATCACGACCAATATTCTAGTTATTCAGTAAGTATTATAGAACTGTTGAAACAAGTCCAAAGGGAAACTAATATTTTGCAGTTACATAGTCAAATTTAAAGCACAGATTAAAAGTCTGAAGGATGCAAGCCCTGGAAACTTTAAACATCCAGCGCATTTGTAATGACAGTATGGGAAAGGCATAACTTTCAGCAGATAAGCTTCAACTGACACAGCTGGGGAAAATCAACGTATGGGGATAAAATACAAGGTAGAGGACCGGTCCTTCTAGGCTGCATCTATTTGCATTGCCACACATACACAGATGCTGGTTAACCGTGTCTCTGTTTCTCTTAAGGTTCCATTTTGGCATCCACATCCACTAGCAATTGTCTTTTGTAGTAGCACATTTTATAAACTAGCCTTGTTTGTAGTAACAGCATTATTAGTTGATTTCAATAGCACCCAGTCAAATTACCAAAATATTGGTAAATTTTTGACCCCCCCATGACATTTTATTTTTTCATCAATTTTTTTTTAATTGAAGTTTGGGGTTTTCTGGGTTTGCCTGTCTTTAGCATTTATTTCAGCAGAGCCCAAACATCCTACACACCAGCAAGCAGACAAGGTTGAAGGAACGGGAGCAGGCTGGTGCAGTAGGCATTATGTCAGCAGTCTGTGTATCCTGTATTTTTGTGGGAGGTAGAAACTCATCAGCCCAGTGGCGGAATTCTTGTGTCCCGGAGCTCTAGGGGGCAGGTTGGATCAAGTCCCTGTGAATACCAGGAGAACATCTTTCACTGCCCTGCAGTGACAGCTTCCACAGAGCTATCCCTGCTCTTTTTTTCACTATCTTTCCCAAAGGACGAAACTCCCGGTCCGACAACAGTCGCGCGGAAGTGGGGCCCGTTCTGGGACTGCGGCGGCGTAGGAGCGCGGGGCCCGGCTCCTCCCGGCGCCAGGCGCACAGAAGCGACCGGGAGGGCGGAGGCGGGAGGCGCGCTCCGGGGCTGGCGAGCCAACCTCCCCGAGAACCTCCCGGGTTTACGCCGGGGAGTCCACGCCCTGACTAAAAAGACCGGGAGACGGGACTTAGGCTGTGGTTTCTGGGTGTTTGCCGAAGGCGCCCGCGGCAGTAAACCAGAGCCACGGAGGCAGAAGGACTGATGCCTCCGGCTCAGTCTGAAATGTCCCGAACCGCAGGGAACGCGGGCGGCTTTCATCTGAATCTGGGCACCGCCTTCTCCCGCACGTTTAGTCTGAGTCCTGCTGTTTTTGTGTTGAAACTCTATGCATAATACTGTGAGCTCTTGCTGCCCTAAAGTGACAGTCTGCGGAGAGGTTTCTGCGGGTGGGTGGGGCCCTACTTGGCCGCGGGATTGAGGCGCAGACCAGGAGCAGCCCCGAAGAGCTGGGACTGCCTGTGCAGTGACCGTATCGCAGCTTCTTTCCACTGGGAACGAGATTACATAACAGAGAAGATCTAAAGCAAGCGGTGGGAAGGTGATAAAGTTAAGAAACATTCCAAGACAACTAACGTGCGTCCCTACTTTTATTCGGAATTTGGAGACGTCACTCAGCGGTTACAGATCTGTGGACACACACACGATGGCCGACGTGTGCACACTCTCATCCGCACGTCCGTCACAGTGTAGGAGAGACTTTACTGTTTGGGGATCAACAGCAGGAGCTGCGATCGGGCTGGAGGCGCCCGGGACCGGCGGGTGCGCGCTCAGCCTCTCCCGACCCAGTCTGGAGCCTGGGGTGCCGCCGCGCCCGCACCCCCGCAGCTGGGGCGGTGACACACCCGGAGTCGAATTACAGCCCCGCGATTAACATATGAATTTCACCAACTTAAAAGAGGGAAGGAAGAAAAAAAAGCCGGAGAGGGCGCCGGGGTCCTGCGCACCCGGCAACTTTTCTCTGGGCGTCAAAAGTCCTTGATTGGCTGCCCGCACGCGCCGGCCAGCGGCCTCCATTGGCTGCGCAGACACGCGACCGGCGCGCGGAGGGGGCCGGCGAGGAGCGGGGAGCCGCGCTGGCGCGTGCCGCTTTTTAAAGGGGCGCAGTGCCTTCGGCAACCGGAGAAGCTTCGTTGCACGCGACCTGGTGTGTGATCTCCGAGTGTGTGGGGGAGGGTCGAGGAGGAGGAAAAAATAAGACGTGGCAGCTGAGACCCAAGACGGGTTTCTGTGCGCGCGTGTGTGCGTGTGAGCGCGCGCGCTGCTGGAGCTGGGTCTCCCGTGCCTCCTCCGACCTGCACCTCCCGGCCTCGGCTGTGCAATGTCCCGCCTGCTGCACGCGGAAGAGTGGGCTGAAGTGAAGGAGTTGGGGGACCACCATCGCCATCCCCAGGCCCACCACCTCTCGCAGCCGGCGCCCCAGCCCCCTGCCACCCTGCAGACGAGGGAGCACACGGTGTACCCGGCTGAGCTGTCCCTCCTGGACGGCACCGACCCACGCGCCTGGCTGGCGCCCGCTTTGCAGGGCATCTGCACGGCACGCGCCGCCCAGTACTTGCTGCACTCGCCCGAGCTGGGAGCCTCCGAGGCCGCGGCGCCCCTAGAGGAGGCGGACGGCCGGGGGGAGCTGGGAAGGAGGAGCAGCGGCGGCGGCCTTAGCAAGAGCCCTGGGCCGGTGAAAGTGCGGGAACAATTGTGCAAGTTGAAAGGCGGGGTGGTGGTGGACGAGCTGAGCTGCAGCCGCCAGCGAGCCCCCTCCAGCAAACAGGTGAATGGGGTGCAGAAGCAGAGAAGGCTAGCGGCCAACGCCAGGGAGCGGCGCCGGATGCACGGTCTGAACCACGCCTTCGACCAGCTGCGCAACGTTATTCCGTCCTTCAACAACGACAAAAAGCTGTCCAAGTACGAGACCCTGCAGATGGCCCAGATCTACATCAATGCCCTGTCCGAGCTGCTGCAGACGCCCAGCGGCGGGGAGCAGCCCCCGCCGCCGCCGGCCTCCTGCAAAGGTGACCACCACCACCTCCGCGCCACGGCCTCCTACGAAGGCGGCGCGGGCAATGCGACAGCGGCAGGGGTGCAGCCGGCCTCGGGAGCCGGCCCGCGCCCCGCCGCGCCCGGGACTTGCCGGACTCGCTTCTCGGCCCCGGCCTCCGCGGGAGGTTACACCGTGCAGCTGGACGCCCTACACTTCTCCACTTTCGAGGACAGCGCCCTGACGGCGATGATGGCGCAAAAGAACTTGTCGCCTTCGCTGCCCGGAGGCATCCTGCAGCCGGGGCCGGAGGACGCTAGCAAAACTTCGCCCCGGTCTCACAGAAGCGACGGAGAGTTTTCCCCCCATTCCCATTACAGTGACTCGGATGAGGCCAGTTAGGAAGGTGACAGGACCCTAGAAACTGAGACAGAAACAAACTACCCTCTCCCCAGGGCGCAGGACCCCACACCCCTTAATTTTTGCTCTGCTGTTGTCCTTGTTTAGCAAGGGCTTGGCTTCTGGCTGCAGCTACATTTGATGGTTTGCAAATGCCTTCGCTGTTTTCAAACTTCCTGTGGTCCATATTGTTCGATGAAACCTTGCTGTCCAAATTTTACCTTTCCCCCACTTTCTACTTCGCCTGTAGATAGATGCGGTATAATTATTTGTACCCATACGTGGCATCATGATTGTAGTCCTTGCTGCCAAGACGCTGCTAAAAAGTCGCATCTTCTGCTCTGACGCTGGTTTGAGTTTATTTTACACCCTGGGCGTCCATCCCTGTGTGTTACGCGCACTCCTGTGGGAGAATTTGTCTCCCAAAATTGTTTCCCCAAATGCAGTATGAGTAGCAGTCACTGCTTCCAAAGTGAGTAGCTTTTTGCTGTGGGATTGTTAGAAGACAGGGACCTGTAGGGGTTTATGTATAGTACGAACATACCCAGTATGCGTATCGATCGCGAGGACGGTGGCGTCCTTCAGGAAACGGGCGCACGCACTTTATCGGTCGCTGTTGCTGCGGCTCCGGGAGAAACTTACCTGCCAATTGCAGACCAGCCTTTGTTTGTTTGTTTGTTTTGTTTTAAACACAGCCACTTATGATCTTTAAGCCTTTTGCAAATATTTGTTTTAAAATGAAAAATTTGAAAATATACAGTTGTGTCAAAAGCATTTAGTCAATTTTATTTTGCTTTCTTAATGTTAGACAACTTATTTATTATTGAGTGTTTGCTACCATTTCTACTTATCTTGATTCATTTTTTTACATTTTCTATTCAAGATCATTTTATTTTAATTTAGCAAAGCCAACTGCCATTGTTTTATGTATTTTATTTTGCAAATGATAAAAATAAACTTGAAAAAAACCTTTTATTTGTCACTTATTCCATTCCATCATTTTAAACAGTTTTTAAATGACCTAAACGACTTGAAAGCAGTCATCTATTAAGTGGAAAGTATGTGATTTAACAGTTTTGAAGAATGTTGCAAATTTAGTGTATTCGGGTTCTACCAGAAACTGTAGTAGAAAAGCACTAGAGACAACAATGAAATGGGAGAAGCTTTCCCCAGATTTGCAGCCCAGTTTTGCCTTGTGAATAGCCAGGATTTTCCTGTCTTCTGTACCACAGGTATCAACACTTTCTTCGAGGGAAAACATGCTTCAGTTCACCTGCAATCTAGTAGTAGTTAAGTTTATCACAGTTAACTGTCTTCACTCATAAAAAATAGCCATGCTGAAAACTGACTCACTCTCCCACTTCTTCCTTTCCTCTTCCTGCTCTCCGTTTTCTCCTTCTCTCTCTCTCTCTCTTTTTTTTTTTCTTTTCGGTACCCGGGATCAAACTCAGGACCTTGCATTTGTGAGGCAGGCAAGGCGCCACTGAGCTAAATCCCTGGCTCTAGCTCTCCTCTTTTGAGGGAGTAAGGTCCCTAAGAAGGAAAAAGGACAATGGGAAAGAACTCCAGGGAAAGGGGAAACTGGCGATCATTCATTCAAAAATTCAAAGCTTCAATCTAGTCATTCTTGTAAACTGTTGACTTCCTCCAATTTTTCACTTCAAACAACACCGCTTCTTCCATCCACTATAGAAAGTAACCTCTGCCTTTATTTTGTCCTTCTGAGTTAGTGTCTATGCAGGAAGCATCCACCTGTATTTGAAAGTCAGTCGGAGAAAGTTAACAGTGCTGTCACTCTCCCTTTGGATGTCCTCACTAAGGACAAGTTTCTTCTGAGGGCTCTGGATCATAGATTTCAAAAAAGCTGGCATGGTATGTGTATGAAAAGAGTAAATCAAGGAATTTTATTGCCAACATGAGAGTGGAACTATTTATTAAACATTCAGTGATGTTAAACATTGTTGGATTTGAGAAGCTGATTTTAAGCAAAAGCATTTGTTTTGTGTCTTCATTGGGATAACAAATTTTTGGGAAAGAAGCACAAAAGAGCAAGAAGAGGGGGAAGAGGAAGAGTGGGAGGAGGACAAAGAAGAGATGGAGGAGGAGAAGAAGAAAGATTAATCCCTCCTCCAAGCTCCTCTCAACACCTTGAGAATTAGAGTGCCATAAGCAAAGAGGATCTTGCCACAACCCGGGTTTGTAGAAAACTCAGGCTTTAGGAAGTGCAGGTTCTGATCTGGGGTAGGGAACCTCAGAATTAACTTTCTTCTGTTTGCCTAGATATCCCTGGCTTTCAGGATGAGGCCAATCAAGGGAAGCTGAGAGCCTGGCCAGCTCTCTGGAAGAGGCAAGCCGCTGCTCGACGCTTTCCAGGGGCAGAAACAATGCACCAGTCTTCAGATAACCTTTTGCACCCTGGGGTTTGCTGTGCTATGATAAGCATCAGGAATCTTTGGGCTACTGAATAAATTGAGCGATTACTTCTAATATGGTTCCATTTCACTCTCAATAAGTAAAGCAAACAGGTATGGACAGAGCCACCTTGTAGGATGCGTGCACACTCATTTTTACAGTTATTCAGCGCAGTACATTTTACTGTATGTGCAGAGGGAGAGAGAAAAATAGGACTTAGAATTCTTTACCGGTTAGGAGTTTGAGTAGGGAAAGGACAAAAAGGGGAATTTTTTTCTCAGAAAAAAAATCTATATTTCATTCTTCAGAACTATTCATGTTCATTTTGTATCAACCAAAGAGGAAAAAGACCTCATCAAAGTTATTGTTTTTCAAGGACTCAGAAAAATTGCAAAATAGAAAGAGCACTAGGAATATCTTCTTTCAAATTTTTTATAAATGAAGAAAAACTAATGCCTCAAGCCATGCAGCTAGAAATGTCAATATCCAGAATCTTAGTACTCTTGTTCACTGGATCAATGATTCCATAAATTTTTCTCTATGAAAATGATGGCTGGAGTTACAGCTATGCTGGGGGAGGGGCACCCCCAGAGTAAGCAGATACTTATACCTTTAAATGTCAGAGTTGTTACATGGGAATTGGAGATAAACCTCATTTCCATTTAAGGAAATCCTTTATATTCCTGCTTAAGAGAAATTAGATTGGGAATTCCTATAACACTGATTGAAAAGTGAAGACGAATTCTTCTAACCCATCCAGACAGGATCTAAATGTCAAATGGCTTTGGGGTAAATTGAGTGCTCAAAGTTCAAATGAGAACTTTAACCTCTTTTCTTTTCTTCCTTCTTTTTCTTTCTTTCTTTTTATGCTGGCATTTCTTTGAAAGAGTTGTACCATCACATTTCCATTTTTAAGGTTCTGTTATAGAGTTTGCATAACAAATGTTTGGCAGCTTGCTCCCTTACACTCCATTAACAAGCTGTAACATATAGCTGCAGGTTGCTATAATCTCATTAATATTTTGGAAACTTGAATATTGAGTATTTCTGAGCGCTCATTCCCCATATGCCAGACCACTCCTGCCATGCTGACTGGTTCCTTTCTCTCCATTATTACCAATTAGCTTGTACCTTCCAAAGTCAGATCCAAGTATCCAAGATACTAGCAAAGGAATCAACTATGTGTGCAAGTTAAGCATGCTTAATATCACCCAAACAAACAAAGAGACAGCATTTCTTAAAGTAATGAAGATAGATAAATCGGGTTAGTCCTTTCCTACACTGCTGGTGCCTTCTAGAGTTTTATATACTAGAGGCAGCTTGCTTTATACTCTGTCCTTGCCTTCCACCCCATCACTACTTTGTGGAGGGTTTTGGCTCGCCACACTTTTGGAAACTTATTTGATTTCACGGAGAGCTGAAGGAAGATTAGTTTTGGCAACAGCCATGTTTAACACGTTCTTTATAGGACATTGCTAACGGAGGGGCTTGAGTGACTAGAAAAAAAGGAGGCTGAGCTTCTTAATTTAACCAGTGCCCGACCGACACTTTTATGAGGCCTTTCGGTTGATTTTAGAGTTAAACCTCAATCAAGCAAGGAATCTTTGATCAAAGGACATCTTGTAACAAGTCTCTTCTCGTTTGAAAGTTCAGGAAAAAGTTGATGAAAGTCCTCCTTCTTGCCAGTCCCAAACCCTGAAAAGGGAAAGTAGCAAACCCACTTATCAATCAGTCTAGACTTGTCAATTACAATCTCGTCAAGTGCTGGTAGGAGTCCAGGAGGCCCGCGTGAGTTGAGATGCTCCCGACTGTCTTGGGGAGAGGAGGTAGGACATGGGGTGGGCAGGAGATAATTCAGAGGTGTCTCTTTCCCTTGCTGCCCTCACCCCTGGGTCAAACCGAGGCCCAGACCCGGACCACAGAGGTCTGTTCCCTCCTTCCAGGTCCCTAAGAAGAAAAGAGAAGCGAGCGGAGAATGGGTTAAATGCCGGGACGCGGGCACCGGCAGGGGAGGAGAGTTGAGGGAATAAAGGAGAGGACCGACCGAAGCGTGGGGGCGGCTCGCGGAGCTGCGCTTCTTAATTAGCGCGGTGACAATGCGGCTGGCAGCCCGCGCGGAGCCGGGCTGGAGCGAGCACGCGCTGTCAGCTGGTGAGCGCTCGCCTTTCAGCCCGCTCCCCGGGGGCCCAGCCGCCACCCTCCCGGCCTCCCCGGCTCCCGAGCCGCCCGCCCGCTCCTCCCAGGCAACGGCCCGGCCGGGAGGGGCCGCGAGCCCCAGGCGGTGCGGACGGGCGCGGGGAGGGGAGGGCAGGACGCGGGGCTGGCCCGGCACCGGGCACTGAACGGGCACTGGCGGCCGGGTCTGCCCAGCCCAGATCCAGCTTCCTTCTCCAGCCAGAGCTCTGCTTCCCTTGTCCTTCTGTTGCGCTGCTCAGAGAATGTTTGTATGCTGTTGAAACAGAATCTCAGTGCTAATCCAGAAGACGTTGGTGCAAGGAGTTTGTCTTCCATGTGCCAATCCAAACGTCCTGACTGTCTTTCTCAGACTCTTTAAGAAGAGTTACAGGTTTCAGTGCAAAGGTGCTAGGCCTTTCTGCGTGGCAGGACCCCTCTCCCTGTTTCAACTCTGCTTCTATCTGGTTCCAAATGAACAAATTAGGCTTTTTTGGCTGAATCCATGGGCTGGCTGGGCCCATTCTACAAATTCATACTTTTTCCTAAGGAAATAAAAGGATTGCTCCTGGGAGTGAAAAGGAAGTTGCCATGCAAAATAAGTATCATAGGTATTTTTTTAAAGAATTCAGATGGGAGAATAGAGAGCCCCGATGAAGGAGACAGTGTGCTAGTGGCCAACTGTGTCACCAGGGTGCAGGGAACAGGATGATGAAGGAAAGCATCAGGTAAGCTCTTCCGTGCTGCCTTGGGATTTCTCAAGCCAATTGATATCTTTGCTTTTTGGGACCACTGAAATAGTTCTCCATGATCCCACCCACCTTCTTGCCCCTCCCAACTCCCAGAGCTGGGATGTTGGTGAAGGAGGGGCTGGGATTAGAAAAGATCCAAAATTACTGGGACCCCCGCACACAGCATGGAGATTGAAAAGGAGTAGGCATCACTCTTGGAGGCTACAAAGCTAGGAGAGACCTGAAAACACAGGGACATCATCTGACCTGGCAGATGGAAAGAGGGCCAGGTCCGTCTACTTTCAATAATCTTATCTCTTTCTGGAAACAACCTACCAGAGGTGTACAGGATGATCTGTTTTCTTTA